AAAGGCAACAGTCAACTAAACATTAATCGACAATAACATGTTTCTGAAAAGTTCTTGAATAAAAAATAAAAGCCGAGAAAAACTTTTTTCAACTTTTCAATTTTTTTGAAAATTTTTTATTTTCTGATTGCAATATCTTCACCAAAAGTTGATGTAAAAGAAAATCGTTTTTTATCAATCGATAGCTTATGGAATTATCCTGGTCTCAAAAGCAATTCAATTTTTCTCATATGCTTCATTATCTTTTTATAACAATTCTAGGAATGGGTAATTGGTGACTCCGGGGTAGGTAAAGGGTTAAATAACTAGTAAACCATTTTAGCACATTCGATGACAAACCTAATGAGACCTTATCAGAGGCTTTTTCTAAATCAGATGCGATCAAGATGGTGTCTACTGGTGGCTGTGTAATTAAATTCTTTGTCAAGTTATTTAATGGGTAAATTTCATACTCTCACATCACAATAGAAAAATTTTAAACAAAGAAAAAATCAACGAGCCAATATTGGTGCCATCTCATTTTCCTTATTCAATTCATAAAAATAGTACATAACAGCTCAAATACTCTCCAATTTCAGGGTGTTATAATGTATTTTGGATAAGTTATATCTATTTTAATCTTAAGTGAAAGGAGTTGATAACTTTAGCTTTCGTTAAGTTCAGTGTCACAGGGTTTTTAATTAGTTTTCAAGAACAAACACTGCCATCTAAGTATGCATCGGTATCGGTATACCGAATACCAAAAATACCGATACCGAAAATATCGACTTTTTTCACTTGGAATTTTTTCATTTGAAATGAGGTATTTTAGCATCCTGGACGGGCAGAACGTATAAACAACACTCAGCTGTGTATTTTGAGCATGTGTAGATAGAAAAAAAAAACTTTGGCTTTAGAAAGCAAACAAAGCTCTTGTTTTCCGTCCCTGATTCATTCTGGGTGTCCAGGACGCTAAAACATCTCATTTCAAATGAAAAAATCCAAAAAATTCCAAGTGAAAAAAGTCGGTATTGTCGGTATCGGTATTTCGGTATGAATACCGATACCGGTGCATGCCTACTGCCATCAGATCCAATATGATCGATCAAGTACGTTACATGCGATCTCAATCTTCCCCCTGCTTACCGAACACTAGTCTTATTGGTCTCAGGAAATCCTATTTCACTCACGCACCCACCACTAAAATCGTCTCGCGGTTTACTGTTTTCTCTTAATATGTGTAAATAATATGAGCAGAGGAAAAGACTACAACACAACGAAAAATGAGACCGACTCTTTAATAAAACGTGATTATTTTTGTATAATAGTGTTTTTTTACAACACTTAATATTGAGATAATTAAAGTAACAAGTTTAAACATTTTTGCAAGCTTTCAAAGCTTCTTGCTTCATCAGCAGGCAAAATTTTATTCATAAGACGAGAAAAAAGACACAGTGTATATATCTATGTAACGTGAACGACACGTGTCTTTTTCTACTGGTCATTTGTTTCGGACCAATCCTTTTCCATTTTCTTGCTTTATGGTGAAATCTTTTGATGAATCACTTCTTTTATCTTCCATTCAAAACAACAACGTTTTAAACGAAATTTCATTGAATGCCAATGCATGGAATTTTTTTGTCAATAATGTTTCTTTGATTTCTCTTTTTCTTTTGTGCTTTTCAAATGTCAATACGCTTGGTTCATCAAAGATCATTATATGTTTCAATGTTCGAACATGATCTACCAAAGTTGAATGCACATCTCTCTTCCCTAAGTTTTCAACGTGTTTTCCATTCTTGCTTCTACGCTTAATCCCGTTTGACCTGCGTAGACTTTATCACAATCTTTATACTCAATAGCATAAACCACACCAACTTTCCTGAAACTATCTATCACCAGCCGATTTCAAAGACGCTGATCTTGCGAAATTCATCGACTTAAAATATTACGAAATTTCATTACGCCAAATTTTAACCGAATTTATAAACACCTTTCTTTGAAGGACACGAAAACCCCAACATTGCGAAACATCGAAATCGATTTACCGATTGTTTTTTAACAGAAAAACATCACTATTACACTGTCAGCATGAGGATTCTCCTGTTTGGATCATTCCCACACAGCAACCAACCCGCTGCTTACCATATATAAGCTGCGAGAAAAGAAATCGATTTCATCATGGCACACCCAAACTGTCCATTGTTCTCTCTAAACCAAAAAGCGTATGAAAAAACCTTTAACAAATCTCCTACCGATTAATATTAACAACTGGATATTCTTAATCAACTCTATTGAACCATGCGTAAATGATTAAAAAAACTAGTGTTTATCTTTGAATTATGTGCATTGTAGAGAAAATGTCTCATCGCAATTCGCATACAACCGGTAATATGTATTTACATTGCCAGTGTTATTGTACAATTGTGCATTATCCACTATTTGTTCTTGTATGCTTTAGTTTATGTGGCCCTTTCATGTCCATCTGTACTACCGCTTTTTCTGTCTTTTACATGTGATTCCCTTAATTCTGCGCCGTGTATCGCTTGCCCTACATTCTTTTTCTTTTTATATAAATTTTATTCAAAATAATAATATAAGAACATAGCCGAGCTATTGGTCATTATAACATTCTTACTTGGCGATAAAATGTTGAATGATGAACTAAAGATTCAGATTTTCTGACATTTTCCTTGCTGGCACGTGCAACAGTTTTCGAAAGCACCTCTGCCACCAAATTCCATTTGAAATATTTACCTAAAACATAGTGTGAATTCTGTCGACACTAGCTATGCAGACCTTTCACAAGCTGTGAGAACAGTCCTGTATACAGCTCATAGTATTAATAAAGCATAGTACACCGAAAATTTCAAAACCAGAAAAACTACTTCACACCAAACAGCCAAACTGTGCGTTCAACAGCCGTTCACATCCCCTGATTCAACTCATATACCTCAATTTCCTTAGCCACAAAAACTTCATCTCCAGTGAAAGTTTTTCTCCCGTGACCAACTGTATCAACATATATATACGGGAAACCAATCTTACATTCCATGCGATTACCAGAGTCACATACGAAAATATCATAAAAAGGTAGTTCGTATATTTTTGCAGAGTAAAGAGACGCCACCTTATTGTTAGAAGAAGAAACGAGGAGAGGAAGGAATTAATTGCGACCAAGAGATAAAGTGAGGAAAGTGATGACGATGGATATGAATTAGTTCCATAAAGATCATAACCGAATATTGGTCCGTAATCGGGATCATGATATATTGCGCAGTGGGTATATTCCTTATCTATGTCAAATTTTGTGATTGGGGTATTGGAAGGGTTTGTTATTGTGAACAGAAATGATGTTGGATCATTTTCTGAAGTCTTGTTGCTACTCCATGGAACGCATGTATATGCACCGAACAGATAGCCACCTTCTAGGGATTGAATGATAGTCATCGTGGGTCCTTTGGCATCGCATCTTTGATGAAAATGTTTGCTAGTGAAGCCATGTTTTGTACCTTGGTAAATCAAGTCCCATTGTTGATTTCGCTTGCCATAAAACTCATTGAGTTTCATTTGATATTCTCCTGAATTCAGTAATTTTCCACCTCTGAATAATGGGCGAACTTGTAGTTGCGTGTCNCCGAACAGATAGCCACCTTCTAGGGATTGAATGATAGTCATCGTGGGTCCTTTGGCATCGCATCTTTGATGAAAATGTTTGCTAGTGAAGCCATGTTTTGTACCTTGGTAAATCAAGTCCCATTGTTGATTTCGCTTGCCATAAAACTCATTGAGTTTCATTTGATATTCTCCTGAATTCAGTAATTTTCCACCTCTGAATAATGGGCGAACTTGTAGTTGCGTGTCATCCGTGTAGGATGTAATAGATTGCGCTTTATGGATGTCGTTGGGACTGGATTCCTAAACAGAGTGCACGGTTTGCATTATTAGTGACTTCAGTTACATAGTGCAATGGTTTTCAGGATAGATCAATAAGGAAAAGCGTTTATAGTCGGTTTATGAGCGCTTGTTTGACCTTTCACGGAAATCAAAATTCATGAAACTATGAATTGTTTTAGAAAGGGTCCGCAAAAATACAGACTTCGTAGGATGCCTATGATTTTTGTTTGAAGCTTTACTTTTCGATGAGCCGATAGAACAACAAAAAGTGAAGAAGATAGGATGACCTTTAGGTTCTAAATGTTAAAGTTTGTGGTCTCCGCTTTTATTAGTTTCAAACGTTTTCTGTACCTTAATGGACTCACGAGGGAATCTCCCGAGATGCCCACTTCCGATTCGAATGCTTTCTACGTGGATCGATAGATCTTAGTGCGGTAGTAAATACTCTAAAAGAATTCGGGCCCATGACTCTTGAAGACCCGGTTTCCTGGAAAACCATTTTTCAGAAACTCTAAAAGATAATCAAAACCTTTTGTTAATGAAGCCTATAACCTATAATCAAGTGCATTTCAAGGAAACAGCGACTTTCAACCTCGAGACCTTCCCTCGTCAGTAAAGGTGAATATTTCAAAATATAAATTGAATCTGATTCGATTTGTGTTGCTATGTATCTCGGTAAACGGATGGATGACCAAAGAGATTTCGTCATTGCTCAGGTACATTCTACGCCGTGGTTATAGAACACTGTTCCATCCTGGCAGCACTTTTCGAGAAAAATTTCACTTTAATTCTATTGTGCTTTTAGCTACTGATGTGTTCTACTTTATCTGGTACAAATCAATGCAACGCATACATACTGGCTTTACGTTTATGTCTGCCTTCTTTCCAGTTGCTGCAATAGGTCCATTTATTGTATCTACTTTAATCAACGTTGACCAATCTATTTCGTCACTCTTTCCTGTATTTATCTGAATTTTATCACTTGTGGACTGGAGCTGTACTTTCAAATCTCGCAATTGCTGAGACCATCGTTCGAAATCGGGTTCTAAGTAGTCATCATCCTGTGTACTCTGTTTCAGTTCATTTGTAATCAAAGAGAATTCTTTCTGGATTTGCTCGCTTGGATGCTTCATTAGTTGTTTCACTTTTTCTCGAGCACGCTGAGCTGCGTATTTTGCGTTTTGTATTGTTTCAATTTCCCAATGGTCGATTTTTTGCAGTAAATCATCAGTTTTGTTGTTATTGGTCGATGATTTCGGATTGAGCAATTCTTGTAGGACATCATGCTCATAAATGACTTTGTCAAATTGACTTGCCAACTGTTGTCTATGTTCGTCGAAATGTCGTTTACAACAGGATAGATGGCAACCTTGACATTTATATTTCCCGTTCTCACATAATTTGCACTGCTCATTCACAGTTGAATTTGCAGCAGCCATTCGTGTGTGTAGAGCTTGAATATAAGTAATATGTTTAGTTATAATGACAGTGGATATTGCTGACAGCAGTGCCTTTATACTTTCTGTTTCTTAAAAGAAACGCTTTTTATCGTTCTTCTTTTCTGTTTCTATTTACGTCTAACGTTTTTGGTTAAGCGCGTAGACCAAAAGTGCTTCCATCCATGTGCAGGTAAATAGTATACATACACGACAACAAGGTAATAAAATATGCTTAGAAAGAGAATTTCAAAAAAGAACCTTTTTCTATTGATAAAGTGTGACATTTTCAAACTATAATGGTAGTTTTGTGATTCTACTTCTGAAAGATGAGTTAAAAAAACTCATCGATGCGAAAAAAAATCATGTAGTATACATTTTCGGAAGTTGCTTTTTGAAAAAATAGGAAAACGTTCGTATTTCAATAATTTCATCACTTCTCTATTAAAAAAATCTCATAGTTACAACCTTCGTCAAAAA